GGAGCTCAGATTCTCCTTCATTTAAATATCCAACCCTAAGGACTACAAGATGGCTCAGTAGGTAAAGGTGCTTTCAACCAAGGCTGATGATCTGAATTCAACTCCTGGGACCCTCATGATGGAAGAAGAGAACTGATTCCTGCAAATTATCTGCTGACCTCCACATGCACAAATACATATGGCAAAAATACACATGGCAACACAATAAAGAACAGGGTGAGCAAAAGTCTAGGGCTGGAGAAACCTGAGGGGAACCCATATTCCAAAGGGACTGGGCTATGTAGCCCCTCCCAACTCTGCCACATGCATCCTAAAGAAAGCACGAGGACAGGGAACTGAGGTGCACCAGGGTCACTGGAGGATGCATCCCTTCCTCATCTGCTGAGTCCTTGGGAGAGTAACTGAAGTTGTTTGGCCCCCAATTCCTCATCCTCCTAAGGATAATAAGGCAAACATATCCTATATATCACATGGGGGTTGTAAAGTGAAACTAGCGAGTGCCTGTTCAGGACCATTCTTGTCATATTGTTTAGCAGTCCAGCAGGAGCAGCAAGAAGTGGGTGACACAGGGCAGGCAAGGGGCTGAGTGGGAATCAGAGTTCCCTACCCCATCATTTCCCTTCAAGAAAAGAAGGGAGGGAGGGAGGGAAGGAGGGAGGGAGGAGCAAAGAGAGAGAGATCCAATTCTTGCCATTATGACATTCCCAGCTTAGTCTGGGAGACATACAAGCAATCCATGGCTGACCCAGGGAAGTAAGTGCCTAGGCAGAGGGTCTGTCAAAACAGGAAGGAGTCAATTCTAGGAAACCTCAGAGACAGTGCCCAGAAGGAAGTGTGAAAGTAAGGAAGAAATTAAGGGCATTGTCGAACAGTGAATAATGTGCAAAGCACAGACACAAGTCATAGCAGGTGAAGGTTCTGTTGGGTAACCAGTGCTAGAAGCAGGTACCAAGGGTAAAGGAAGAGGACCTTGGGGTTCACTAACTCTTAAGACGGTCCTGGGATGTTGTAGCTATTATTCCTACAGAGAGAAATCTGAGATTTAGAGAGCACCTGAAGGAGGCTTCTCATAGGGAGGAGCACTGATGCTGGTTCTGACCCCTGGTGGATGAATGTATTTTACATTCTCAATGTGAAAGTTCTGATTCAAATAACATTTACATAGGAATGTTGTGAATCTGGACACTGTTAAGTACAACTAGTAAAAACTCAGTTAAGAGAGAATGATGGGTGGTGGGTGTAAACGATTCAGAATTACAGAGCTACAGAGTGAGACCTTGTTTCAAGAGACGTGCCAAATGAGATAGCCCAGTGTGTAAAGGTGCTTGCTGTACAAGCCTGACTGTCTGAGCTCAATTCCTGGACTCCACGTAAGGTGAAAGAGGAAAACAACTGCAGAGAGTTGTCCACTGACTTCCACAAGTATACTGTAGCATGCCCACAGCATGCACACACACACACACACACACACACACACACACACACACCCGATATACACATAATAATAATAATAAATTTTGAAAAAGGAAAGGAGGAAGGAAGTATGAAGATGGAGGGAGAAGAAAAAAGTATCAAATTTGATTTTTTATATGAGTGTTTAAAATTTTTTATTTTATGTTTATAAGTGTTATGCCTGCATGTATGTAAGTGCACCTGTGTCGTGCAATGCCCACAGAAGTCAGAAGAGGGCATAGGATCCCCTGGAACCGGACTTTTATCACCACCGAAAATGCTGCTTAGGACACCCCCGGACCTGTCTTTGGTGAACAAACATAAGAGTTTCTTCAGAGTCTGTGTTGGGAGTTGAACTGCTAAGTTCAACTTAGCCATGGATATAGTGATGGATGTAGGTTGAACTGCTAAGTTCAACTTAGCAGTGGATGTAGTGATGGATGTAGGTTTGACCAAACTGTCTCCATGGTGATAGCCACCATGTGAGCATAGGAACTGAATCCAGGTCCTCTGCAAGAGCACCCAAAGCTCTTAACGGCTGAGCCATCTCTCCAATCCCAAATTTGATTTTTTTAAACCCAAAATTTTTTAAAAGCAAATTTGATTTTTTTAAAGTTGTAAGGTGGCTTACAACTGTCTGTAACTCCAGTTCCAGGAAATCCGACACCTTCTTCTGTCCTCCATGGGCATTGCACAACATGCGTGCACTTGCATACATGCAAGCAATATACTCATACACATAAAATAAAAATAATAAATAAAATTTTTTAAAGAAAGTTTAAAAGATCAGCAACTCAAACAGTAAAAAAAAGAAAGAAAGAAAGAACAGAAAAGAGAAAAACAAAGCAAACAAAAATGACTAGTAGAGACAAGTTTCTGAAACAGAAAACAAACGCTTAATACAGAGAAGAGCAACAGACCCAGAAGTTATTGCTTTGGAAAATTCTGGCAAAACTTGTGAAAATAAAGGAGTAAATGACTTAAGGAAGATGAAGAATGAGGGAGGATATTTTCCTAGACATTGCTGAGATTAAGAATGATAATAAGAACATTGGGGTCAATTTTATGCCCACAAAGGAACCGGATGTAAAGTGGAGAAATCAGCCAGCATTATACAGTCAATAGGGAAAATCAGTGAATGGCTTTTGTATGTTAAAATTGGACACTGGGAACAGAAGTGAGGAGGAAGGTTAACAGAAAAAAAAATTGGATGTCATATGATACACAAAAGCCAATTCCAGATAAGCTAATAGCTTAAACATCAAGGACAAAAGGTCTAACTTGTAGAAGAAAACAGAAAATCTTTATGACCTTGAAACATAAAAAGATTTCATAAGCAAAGACCAAGAAGCTAAACCCCAAAGGAAAAGCAGATAAACCTGACTCAAAGTCAAGGAAAATGGGGGCTGAGGAGATAGTCCAGTGGGTAAGAGTGCCTGCTACACAAGCATGAGGTCCTGAGCATGACTCCCCATGACCCACATAAAGAAGTCGGACATGGCCACACAAGTTGCAATCCCAGCACTTGGAGGGGCGGGGACAAGATCTCCCAGCTTGCCAGCCAACCTAATTGAGCTTCAGGTCCACTGAGAGACTCTGTGTCAAGGGAATAAGGCAGAGAGAGAGAGAGAGAGAGAGAGAGAGAGAGAGAGAGAGAGACAGAGACAGAGACAGAGACAGAGACAGAGACAGAGAGAGAGAGTTGACTAGGCAATGCAGAGAAAATGTGAATGAAAAGTAAAAAGGGGCTTCAACTTCATTAGCAACCAGGAAAATGTGAATTTATCAAACAATTGGGTTCTCTTTCACACTTAGCAGATTGACAACATTTTCAGAAGTTTGAGGGGATCAGGTGGGGATGTGACACCTACCCTGTTAATGGAATAGAATTGTTACCATGCCTTTTGGAGACAGTTTGATCAAACCTCCATCTACACTCATGACTTAGCAACTCAACTCCCAACATAGACTCTGAAGAAACTTAACATTTGTTCACCAGAGACAGGTCTGGGGGTGTCTTAAGCAGCATTTTTGGCAGTGATAAAAGTTTGAGAACAATCCTGAGGTCCATCAACAAGTAAAAAGGCAGATAAACTGAAATACAGTCACACAGTGGATTACTTTACAGCAGTAAATATCAGCCACAAGTTCACCCATCAACACAATTTAACTCAAAAATATGTTTAGCAAGGACAAAGTCAGCTATGGGGAAAAATATAAAACATGATACCATGTACATAAAAGTAAACTATAAGCAAAATAATACAATGTATTGCTTAGGAAAACAGAAATATCTGCTAAAACAAGTCAGGTGCTGATGAGGTCCGGGGATTACACTGGTATTTTTTGATATTCTTTAAACCACATGTTATGTGATTTAAACAGAACCTGTTTGGATGATGAATGTATTTCATTCAAAAATATCTAATAATTGAATTGCTGTGCAACATAACAATTTGCCCCAAGCAAAGGGATTATTTGAGCTGTTTATTTGTTTCTCTTTGTTATCTCTATGGGCTGGCATTTTATTATGAGCCTGTAATATTTCCAAAGCAATATTACCTCAAGAGATTATTAGGCTCCTTAGGGGAAAAAAGATAATTATTTTCCAGCCTTGGGGTAGCTTTTCTTTGGTGATTTCACTAATTTGAGCAAGAGGTGCTTTCTCCAAGCCATTGGAACGTTAGTTCAAGGGCAGACCCTGCCTGCCTGCTTGTTCAAATATGTACACTGCTCACATGGGGAAGGGTGCCAGTGGAATAACACACTGTGACCTTGAGTTCCAGATGAAGGTAGGGTGTGCTGGGAGGGAAGGCTAGAGCCACCCTGGAGTCCCCACAGTGGCTTAGCCAGAATGGGGCGCACATTGAAGGAAGCTGAGAACTGGATGTGTCCTTGCTCACAGAGCCTTGCAAAGTCAGGCCTCCACAGCTACAGCCACCATGCGGCAGGTTGAAGCGTACAGAGGAGCACAGTACTCTTCCTCCCTGTGTATGGAAGAAGGAACCATGAGCTTGATTGCCCTGCTGGCCTCTGCTCACAGCTGCTTTGAATGCAAGGCAGCATAAATTTGTTCTCCCAAGTTTCCCCAGCTCATGCAAGATATGCACAAGGCAGTCTTGGATTCCAACCCCAGCACTGCAAAAAATAACTTCAAGACTGGGAACATAGCAAGTATTATTTGAGCTCCTACTGTACAGGGTGGCCTTTTACCTGTATTTTATAACAATTATTTCCGGAGTTGAAGGGTACCTATGAATAGCTCCATTGAGATTCAGAGCATCTAAGTAACTTGACCAGGACAGTGCAGCAGAACTGGGATTTGAAAGCAAGGCTGTGGAGTGCTCCTCCTTGTAGGTGAGAGTTCTATCCTGCTGCTCACAGGTACAGCTGTAGGCAGGAAAGAGCAATCCCTCAGCCCAGCCCACACACCCTTCCCAGGGACTAGGCTCAGTATTAGCACAGCAAAGAGGCTCATCCCTGGCCCCACAGGCTTGTAAGCTTATCTCCAGTTACCCCAACCCAGACCTGTGATTGTGTCTCTGCAGGAAACCAGCACTGTCCTGCACCATATGCTCCAGCAACCTCCTGAGCTGCTGCAAAAGCCTATGGGGGCTTCGTTTTTTTCCAGCAACACTCAGAAGGTCCCTTAGAAGAGCTATCGGGGGAGCCACTGTCTCAGGAGACAGAGAGGACTCCTTCACAGGAAGCAATGAGGGCACTGTCTCGTGAGGCCGTCTAGAACTGGCCAGGACAATGAAGATGATGCTCCTGTCACCTGAATTTCCCTTCTGGAGCTCCTCCAGACCCAGCCCAAACCACTGAGGACAAATCTTAGCCTGAGCCTGGAGGCTCACAGAACACATGGCAGGGAGTTGTGGTCCTCCACCCAGGGCAAAACACCTCTTTTGGGCTGAATTCCTTGGGTTCAAAGTTCAAGTTGGTGCTGGCCCTAGGTGTCATAAGCAGAGACATGGGGCAGGGACGCTTGCACGTGTGTGTGTGTGTGTGTGTGTGTGTATGTGTGTGTGTGTGTGTGTGTGTGAATGTACATATGTGGGAAGCACACACATCCTCTGAGCAGGGCAGAAGGGCAGAGGATGTTACTATAAAGCTCTGGCCTTACACTCTCTTGGGATCTCAGGATGAAAAGGGAAGGGAAGTAAAAGAGAAAGAAATTGCCTTCCATGAGCACCTAACTAGGTACCAGGTACTTTACCGACATGACTCTCATAATCTATATGCAATGTGCTAAGGGTAAGTAAGCATCACTGTTCCAACTTAACAGAGATGGAAATTGAGGCTCAGAGAAGTTTGGAACCCACCTAAGGTCACTCTGCTAGAAAATGTGCCTGGAGTAGAGCAGGCACTCAAAAAGTAGTTGGTGGGTGGGTAGGTGGGTGGGTGGATAGATGGATGGGTGGGAAGATGAATAGATACGATAGATGATGGATGAGAAGATGGATGGATGGATGAATGGATGAATGGATGAGAAGAGAGATGGTTGGATGAATGGATGAACAGAGGGATGGATGGGTAGATGGGTGGGAAGATGAATGAATGATGGATGGATGAATAGGTGGGTGTAAGCCAGGTCTCATGCCCATGTTCTTGAAACTACACTACACTGCCACTCAGAAGAAAGGTCAAGATATTTCCTCAACTCAGTCTATCCTCCTGTAGCAAGACTTAGACCTCTAAGAGCGCTTCATGTTCAAATATGGCCCTTGCCAGAGTGGGTTACCAACAAGAAGTGGCATGCAGTGGACTGGCTGGGCAATGTGTCTGTTGGTCCCCAGGGAAGAACAAGTGGAAGTTGGGGGGATACGAAGGTTGCAAACAGGGGAGTTGACCCAGTGGCACCTCCTGTTGGCTACATGTCTTTGGAAATGTCACCTGACCTGTCTGAGCAACTCTATTCCTCTGTGCAAACAGGTAAACTCCCTTTTCCTAGTTCCAGAATTACTGAAGAGACTCGAGGAGATGGAGTTGGTGAGAGCCCTGGAGATATGAGGGTGTCGATGGGCTTCTCCTCCAGGGCTTCTTAGAGGCAATGCCCTTCCCTTGCACCCATTCTTCCCTGAATTTCCAAGACCCTCTCCTGCTTCTTAATGTCTACCCTTAACTTTTCTGTCCTCTTTGTGACTCACTGTCCTCTCCCCAGCCACTAGCTGTGGCTGTTCCCTGGGACTTAGTCCTGAGCCTTTTCTTCTCACTCTGACTCTCCCTTTGGGACCTCACCTACATATGACCTCAGCCAGGAGACATGAGGATTTACAGATTTATGACTGAAGGCAAGGTTCCAGTCCTTGCTTCATCTCCACCTGGATATTCCAAAGGTACCTCACCCTTAACATGTCTACAACTACACTCTCCAATTTCTTCCTTACCTGCTCCCTTCCAGAGTCCCCCTTCTCAGACAAAAGGCACATCCTGGGCTTCAAGAGCCGTGATCAACTTTAAGCATAGCCCGCCCTTTGCCTTGCTTTTTGTAGTCACACTCTAAAGTCTTACCCGCCCCACACAATTTTCCGCCATCCAACTGATTCTCCCGTCTTCCCTGGTATCAGTTGGTCCCATAGTCTCCACCAGGACAACTGGAACAGCTATTTACACATCTTCCTCACATCTCACTCCCCTTCCTCCAGTCAACTCTCCACACAACAGCCGCAGTGGGCTGTGTAAAATGCATACCTGATTATGTCACACACAACATAGAACTATCTTCAGAATGGCCCGCATGGCCCTCCAGCTTCCCCTGCATCATTTCTCCGCCTTCTCTGTACTCCAGCCCTATTTCTCTTATCTTTTTATCTCACTCGTTATTCCTAGCAACCAGGGCACACAGAGTGCTATTTCCATGACCTGAAATGCTCTTTCTGTCCTCTAGGCCTGTTCACTCCATGAGATTTCAGCTAAAATACCACTTCCTCAATGAATTCTTTGCTCCTTCTGACTCATCCTACAGCAGGCCCTTGCCACACATCTTGTAACTTTTCTTGGAGGCACTGGCATGGTTGTAATGTTACAGTCATTTCCGTGGTTCCTTGGACACCATCCACCTCCCCTACACACAAGTTCTTTCTGTTGACCTTTGCCTGTCGAACCCTTAGAAAAGTATTCCACACGTAGTAGAAACTGAGTGAAAATGTGTTAATGAATATGCAGAGAATGGGCAAAGCCAGTATTTTAAGTAGTTAACCCACCAATAAACTTCAAGGCATCATTTGGCCTGATGACCCCCAAATATGTCAGTTGAGTCTCTTGACTGGATTCATTTTGGAAGCCCTGATACCCCGTTTAGACTCTCAGGAGTCTAAAGCAGGGGAGTCTCTAAGCCATGGCCAGATGACTGGAGGTATGAAACCTCCAGTGCAAATGGACCTGTCAGATCATAGACACAAGTAATCAAGGCTCAGACCCACACTGCCCACTGGCCACCAGCCACTGCAGAGGATTATGCAAGTCTACATCTGAGCTGCCCTGCCCTATTGGAGGCTGTCTGGATCGTCTGATAGCTGCGGAAGTGGGGTACATGCTGCTCGAAGGAGGAACAGCTGCAGTGGGACTTCAAATCCTTGCTCTGTGTTACCATCATGTTCCAATAAAGCTATCAAAACAGATGCTGCCTTGATGGGTTTTTTTTTTTCATTTCCTGGCAAGGAAATATTCTCAAACTTTATCATGTGGTGTCTTGATTTAAAAAAAAAAAAAAAAAGCCATGATAAAATTCTGGGGTAAAGGCCAAGTTGAACGTTTCCTTAAAAAGTTAAGTTGGAACTGGAAAGAAGGAAGAGCACTTGTTCTGCAAATCCTGAGGTCCTGAGTTCAGATCTCTAGCACTCACGTTAAAAGTTGGACAAGGCTTGTACATGCCTGTAATCCCAGCATTGGGACTGAGATTTAAAATAGTGAAACATAGTGTAAGATGGGAAGAGCCTGAAAGCTCACTGGTCAGACAACCTATGTAAAACAGTGAACTTCAGGTTCAATGAGAAACCCTATCTCAAGGCAATTCCAGGCAGAGAGCAATAAAGGATGAGATGTGATGCCCCACTTTTCCTCCATATGTGTGTATACCCACACACTGACATACATACACACCACACACACAAAATAAATGTTCAAAGGAAAATAAAGTAAGGACACTTTCCAGTAGCTACACTTCAGTTTAAAGACCATATCAGAAGCCATGGAAAGCCAAACTGTGGAAGGAGGATTTAAGGCTACATTTTGAGAATAGACACATCATCCAATCCACCCTGTAATCTGATGTATCCATTTATATCTGACTAGGGGAAGGTCATCATTTCCTGCTCTCTTTGTAAGCCAAGTGAGTAACAGATACTGGGGAAATGTGTTTGTGATGCAGGAAATCCCCAAACTTTATAGAGACAAAGAAGTTACTACTACACAGGAAGAAAAAATACCTTCAAAGTGGAAACATTTGTCAGTCAAGGAGGCCCACAGTAGGCAGATGAGGTGCATGCAAGGACAGAAATGGGTCAAGAGAAGATTTATTAATTTTGTGCAAAGATCAAATCCCAGAGGTAGCAATGAAATGCTTTTGAGAAGGAAGGGAGGAAGGGAGGAAGGGAAGGAGGGAGGGAGGGAGGGAGGGACGAAGGAAGGAAGGAAGGAAGGAAGGAAGGAAGGAAGGAAGGAAGGAAGACAGGCAGACAGGCAGACAGAGTAGAGGACACGGTTAGATAATGCAACCTGAGAAGAGACCCTTGACATGGGAGTAGAAGAATTCTGAACTTCGGACCTTCCAAAAGAAACCATTAAGAAACACCTTGATGAGATTTTGTAAGATCCAGGGAAAAGATGGCAAGTAATTCAGAGCTTACAGGAACTCTTCTTCATGAAGAAAAGTCAAAGCTGTACAGAAGGTTTGGAAAGGTGAAGATAAGCAGGTGAGTCAGTAGTTGATGTTGGCCAGTTCTTGGTATAACTGGTAACTCCTGGATATTAGCCATGGGTGTAATAAATATTGGGGCACTGGATGGGCAACTGGCCAGGGATAGAGTCCAGGAAATACTTTATACAATCCTGGTCTACAGGCTCAGATTCCACCAGTGGGAACTGGATGTGATGCAAGTACCATTATTGATATGTAAGAAAGAAGGAAGGACAAGGGTTGGGGATTTAGCTCAATGCAAGTGCTAGCTTTGTCCTAGCAAGCACACGGTTTGGTCCTCAGCTCCCCCCCAAAAAAAAGAAAAGAAAAGAAAAGGAAAGGAAAGGAAAGGAAAGGAAAGGAAAGGAAAGGAAAGGAAAGGAAAGGAAAGGAAAGGAAAGGAAAGGAGGAAGGAAGGAAGGAAGGAAGGAAGGAAGGAAGGAAGGAAGGAAGGAAGGAAGGAAGGAAGGGAGTGGAAAGGCCAAAGAAGCACTGCAGGGAGCAGCGCCTGACCAGGTCCCTGATGAGCAGCGGAGGGCAGACAGGGTGCTGCAGCTGCCTTAGGGCTGTGCCTCATCTTACAACTGATGGGAAGACTTAGGGTAGGGTTAGGGTTAGGTGTTAAGTAAGAAGGAGCCAAGATGATAAGGTTTGTGTTAAGAGTGGAGCACTCAGACTCCAGAAACTAGATTAGGGGATCTTGGAGCAGAGGCAGAGAACAGAAAGAATTCACAACCTATCAAGGTGAAGGATAACACTTTTTTTTTTTTTTGAAGTCCCACTATATAGCTCATGCCAGCCTGGAACTCACTTTGTAGCTCAGGCTGGGCTCAAACTCTGGATTCCCCTGTCTCCCCACTAGCTTTACCATAACACTTTGTAAGGATCTCCTCCCTATAGACCTCTAGCTATGTTAGAGTTCCTTTGAGCAAGCACTCCTTACCCTCCACAGAGATGGGCCTGTACCTAAACATTACAAAGGAATTTGGGAAACAGTGAGTTATAAAGGGCGGCAGGCACATCAAGACCAGGAGACAGATGTTGTGTACCAAGTGAGAGGATGCGGACCAGTCACTGGGAACTTCTAAAGGGAAATGTTCTTGGTCCTGAAGAACCAGATGGTATTTAAACTCAGTTCAGATACAGGATGGATATTAAAGATTGATTAATAACCCAGGTCTAGGGAACTTATTTAGAATCCCACCTCAGGTGAGCTGGCGAGATGGGGCCTCCATCTCTACAAATCAATAGCAATGAGTACCTGAGAGCTCACTAATTCACCATGGTCCTCAGGACTAGCTTTTCAGGCATGGGTTATTAGCCTCAACGTACAGGTGAAGAACAGGAGCTCAGCACATAGGCGGTTCTTCCCAGATCATTCAAGCAGGAAAGATCACCACAGACACAGAATCCCAAAAATGCCACCAGAATCCCAAAATCCCACCAGAATTTCAAGAATTCCAGTGAGAATTCAGCAGGCATCAATGGTCACTCGCAAGGTAGACGGGAAGAGCTCCACTCACTCCTTTAGCAGCCTTGACGGGCTTACAACTCATTATATTAAAGGTCATTTCAGATGTCAGCACCATGTCCCCAACCTCCTCGCTGAAAGTCAGAGAACAGCGTGCTCCTCTCGCCCTGTGTTACAGCACCGGACAGAGCACTGGCCTGGCTGCACCAGTTGCTCACTCCCTGGGGCTTTACCAGAACTCTCATGTGCCCTAGTAAGCCTGGCAGGATTCCCAAGGAAACAGAGTCCCAAAGGGCATACAGTCTGGGTTATGTGGCTCCCAGATGAACACGACCATCACTTACCACTGACATGTATAAGCCCTTTCCCACACCCAGGCCCCTGTGAGGCAGCAGTCAGACAACATCCCACAAAACAGAACCAGAAGAAAAAGATCCAATGTACAGCCCCAGTCAGTGGCACAGCTAGGATTCCAGAGCAGGTCTACTTGTCAAAAAAGCTTAAATCTCTTTTCATTTGTATTTTGCATTGATTTTTAGGATCATAAGTAATTACAGTCATACAGTCTCCTTAAAATTATAATATTATATTGTATAACTGTATTAATTCAAATATAAACCTAAAAATTTACAGCCAATTTTGAAAGAAATGCATCTTAGCTCTGGAAACTATTATTGAATATGTCAATGCTGTTGTAATGAATGCTTCTTCTAATTATATTGTTATTAAATAAAAATAATTAAAAAAAAAAAAACATTGCAGGGCTGGAGTGTAGCTCGGTGGCAGGGCACTTGTTTTGCATGAGAACGTCCCAGATTCAATATCCAGCAGTACAGAAACCAGGGGGGAAAAGCCATTATATTTTACATGGAAGTTAGTTGGAAAATGCCCAGCTATGCAGCATCACGGGATTCAGTTATGCATCTTCATTTCAAAAGCCCGTTTACCAAGGCCAGAATGTTTGCTCTGTTTTCTGCGCTCACCACATCTCCAGCCCCGTGGCACTGCGTACCCATGTTTAAACAGCAGATTTGAAATAAACAAGGAGAGCAAAGAGACTGACGGAGCAAAGAAAGAGAATTTGAGTTTTTCAGTTTGTCATCCAATGTGACCGCTTGAGTATTTATTTGTGTTTAATATTTCAAACAATGAAACACAATGCAAACTGTGAAGTCTAGCTTTATTAGAAGTGCAAATTTTAGTTCTTACATGAAATGTCCTAATGAATTTGAAAAATATCTTTTCACCTAAAATGGAAAAAAATTATAATAGTATAGAGAAAACTGCAGTTCATTTGACAGTCCTGCCTTCATTCTTTTTTCCCTAGCAGTTTCCCCTGATGAAGCCTCAGTTTAAGGTACAGTATTTAATTCCATTTGATTTTCTTGATTCTTAATCATCAAAGTTAGAGTGTATGAAAGGGCCTGAATTCAACAATGTGGCTTCAGATTTCAACCATGACAACCACATAATGTCTCCCTCATTATTTCTAACCACAAGAGCTTATCCCATAGTTTATGTGTCTATCTCCCTTAGCCATGGATATCTGAGTCACTGGTAATGCTTTTTGCTGTTTGAACAATGAGATACTGATTATCTGACAGGGCTTCCTTGTTGGGGATGAGGTATGTGTTTACCACAAATATACAGACAGTCCCTGGTTTAGAGTGGCTCCACTTAGGATTCTTTGTGGTGGTGTGAATTGCAATCTTTTCTCAAGTTAACCATATGCAGTGAGATCCCTACTGCCGATGCTGGGCAGAAGTAGTAAGCTGCATCTCCCAGTCAGCCACAAAATCACCAGGGTGGACGGCCAGCACTCTGCAGTACTCTGATTTGCTAAGTGAGGGTATTAATAGGTTGGATGGTGTCAGTATACTAGGCCTCTGGTACTTCAAATTCTGAGGCATTACCAGGAAACAACCCTATCACAAGTCAAGGAGTATCTGTACCTACAGCTGAATTTGGGGTATTGTCAAGGTGCACTCCAAAGAGGTGTGGCTCATTCACAGTTCCACAAGTTCCTGTAAAAAGCCCTGTCTCCTCAGTCTCCCCGGCCCACCTGTGTTTTTTCTACCATTCCCTGTAGCTTCTCTTATTTTTTAGAAGTTAGAGAAACTATTTCCAGGACAAAAAAGAAAATATAGCGGGAAGAAATCTTGAGACATCTCCTTGAACTTACCCTGGGCTTTAAAAAAATTTTTTTTAATTAGTTCTATTTTATGTATATGAGTGTAT